TCTGAGAGGATTTTGCCTTCCTGCCATTTAAAGGCAACTTTGCAGATTATGAATTACAGGAAGTGAGGATGTAGGAGCTCTGCTGAGCCGCAGTAAGGAAGTTAAAGTTGCCCAGATCATATCACAGTTAGATTTACGATGAACAGTTGGGATTTGGGCTTTTCATCAATTTAAATATTTACTGCGTGAAACTTACTTACTCGTTTTGGGTAACTAAAGGGTTAAAATATCTTTAAAACTTGTGTCTGAAGCATCCATCTGCTAGAAACTGGTGCTTATATTTAGGAGTCAGATGAAATCTTGAAACAGAAAACTGAATGTTTTAGACTGCAAGTGCGAAAAGTGCAAAAAGTGGGCATTCCCAGCTGTGAGTTCCAGATGTGCTGGTTTGTAACTTCCCGCTGTTGGTGTGACATGAGGAGTGAGTTAAGGAGCTTGCCTACTTGTTATCTTGTGTGCTTCTCCTGCTCCGGAAATGTCAGTCCGAGTTGTGTACAGTCCTCTTATGCAGAAATTTCTAATTTTCTAAAAATTCTGCCTTTGAAGGCGACTTTACAGTGCAGCACAAGAGACGACATTTTGTTGACAGATCAGAAATAATGTGTTCAACTTGGGAGACTTCACAGAACCACTGGCTCCTCAGTTGAGAAAGTTTTTGTTGTTTTTTGGGTTTGGGTGTGTCTTTCTCATCAAAGCGCACTGGAAGTACGTGAGCTACTGAAGAAATCAACAACAACTTTGATTTGGGTTTTACTTTGAAGCCCATTAATGATGGATAATTGATTTACTTACATGATAGGATGGATTTCCCTCTGTCTTTCACCCCCCCCCCCCTTCCTCTCACCCCCTCCAAAACCCCTGGGATGGCTTAGGGGTGATGAAAAGGATTGCATTCGGTGGTGAAACAAGTATGTTCTTCATGTATTGGAGGCTGGACCTGGATTGGAACCTGAAAACTTCAACTAAGTTTTTATTTGAATAACTGAGGGAGGAGATTTCATTTGTTGTTTGGTTTTGTTTGTTTTTTGGTTTTTTTTCTACTTTAGCTGTGGGTCTGACATTACTAAAAGAATAATTGATTTCGATGTTAAATGAGCTGAATTAGATAACTGGACCAAAGGACTTAAAGTTTCTCTTGTCTGTAAATTTTAAGTCTTCTCATCTTCCCCAGTGTTGAAAATATAATACCTTGTTTCTTCCCACACATACACAAAATCTTCTGAAGGATTGGAATAAATGAGAATTAAATACAACATCCTAAGATAGATGTTATGAATTCACCAGCATTTAACATCAGTGGACCCTATTTTTAATTAAAATGTAATTTTAAAATTTTTAGTTAAGATGTAAGTTTCACATTTTTAATGTAAAATGTAATGTCATTTTAATGTAAAATGTAATTTTATATATATAGATATATGTATTTATATTTATAGATCTGTTTATATAGATATAGATAAAACATATTACAGGAATTCAGGGGTGCTGTACTGAACAATATTTCTGAAGCATTGTCTTAAAATATGTTGGTTTGGGCTTGTTGAGTTTGTTTAAATAATTAAAACACTTCTGATGTTGAGCTCAGTCCTTTTCCTACAAGCAGCTGTTCTCAGAGTAACTGATTTTTATTCTATTTTGGTCATATCTGTTTCCAGTGAAATCAGTCTGGAAGTTTTCTGATTGAGAGTGGATCTTTGATAGTTATACCTGGGTGTAATTCTTGGTGTAGTTTTTCTTGCTCATCGTAGCAGCTCTGCTGTTACCTTACACAGGTTGTGTGACAGCCCTTCATGATGTATCCATCTTGACATTTGAGATTAAATATCAACATGTGTTCCTGGAATACCTGTGGTGTTCTCAGTGTGTCTATAAAATGTCACAAGGCACCCAGTGAAATGTTTGCACAGCTCTGAGGCAGAACTCGGTGGTTCCTGCTCCAAGCAGAGGCATCTGAAGCACTGGTTAATCTTTCTCTGTCCACTGTGGCTGAGCTTAGGAATTCCTTTAGGACCAGTACAGTTATACCCAGTATCTGTGGTGTGAGGACTAGTACTTGTTATTCCCAGAAGCCTGTAGAGGGCCTATAGTTTGTTTTATGCATAGAAGTTTTAGAAATCCCTTCAAACCTGGTGGTCTTCCAAGAAAGGCAGGTCCCTTTTTGTTTCCCCTGTGGAAGCAGTTTCTTGAAACCTAAGGAGTACGAGTACAGGCGGATTGATTATTGAAGCAGGCCAAATTCCTTTGGTAACAGCAACATGTTAGCACTGATTTCCAAGAGTGTGCATCACTACCACTTCACAAGGGCTTGATTAGTTCCCTTGTGATGTTTCCTTTTGATGGCTGCCCAAAATGAAACATGTGAGCAAGCCAACATAAGCTCACTTCAAAGAACGAGATCTCAAAGAGTCTAATCTTGGCTGACGAGAAGCTTATACCAGATCAAGCTTTCAATAATGGTTGCAAACTAGCAAACTTTTTAGAAACACTCTTGCAGCTGGGATTCACTGTGTAAGTGCAGAGGCAAACAGCCTTGAGATGTGAGAGGAAATGGAATCTCCTGTGTCTGAGGATCATCTGAGCAGTCAGGATGCTGATTCTTGAGACAGGTCAGTCTCCAGACATGGTGGCTGTTCTGTAGCATTGTGTGTTAGACTTTTAGCTGTATCACCAGAGGTAAACACCAGTCCCCTGCCAGGGAGGGAAATGCTTCATCCATGGCACAGACAGATCTAAACAGGTTTGATTCTTCGAAGTGACATAGGTTGGCTTTGGGTTTGTTCCAGTTTGCCTTTCCTGCTGTGGAGATGGTCCATATCTCCATCCACGAGGCCTTCTTATGGGACTGGATCAGCCTCGAAGGACGCATTTATCTGAGCATGAGCTGGGATTTTTGAAGGTTGTTAAATCTATTGGGTTCTCTTTCAAGAACCAGTCTGATTTCCTTTCCTTCCATGGTGTCTGAAGCTCCATACTTAGAGGTGCAGACAATACAGCTCCAGGGAAGAATGACTTATACACCTCATGAGTGTGCTACCAACCAGGGAGATCTCTACAGGCCAGGGGAAAGGGTCACCAAGAACCTTATAAAGAACCTTAAGAAGTTAGCAAAGGGAAATGTCAAGTCCTGCACCTAGAGAGGAAAAGCCCCATGTCCCAGTTCAAGTTAGGGACTGACCAGCTGGAAAACATCTTGGGAGAAAAGTTCTTGGTGGCTGATGAGGTGACAGTGATGCCCTTGCAGCAAAAAACACCAACAGCCTCCTGGATTGCCTTAGGAGTCGTGTTGCCTGCAGACTGAGGCAAGTGTTCCTTCTCATTTACTGAGCACTGCTGAGACACTTCTGTGTTCTGGGTCTAGTTCTGAGCTCCTCAATACAAAAAAAAGTTGTTTTAGTTACCACTTATCCTTGGTTTTGAGACAACAGAGAAGCCCTTTGTTAAAGGAGCTGAAAGGAAAAGTTTTAGGTACTTTCCCTTATAAACAAGGAGAGATAGGAACTGAGGTCCCTCTTGATCTGGAATTCTCAGGGTTCTTACAAGATAAGATGCAGCATATTATCCTGTGACTCCGTTGCCACTTGGACAGTCTGGAAAACTGTGAGGTGATGCCATGATATGACCTGTTCCATCTTTACTCAGAGACTCTGCTGATGAACGTGTGTTTTTGGTGTGGGAGAGCACATGAACAGTATATTGATCTATTGAGAAACTACATGTAGAGTTTATCTTCTGTTTCTTGGAGACTTTTTCCCCTTATGTCAAAGTTGTTTATCTCATAGCTTTGTGGCTTGTTTAAATTCATGGGCTGCTTCCCTCCAGCCTGCTACTTTTTCCTCAGGAAAGATGGAGAGCAGCTGTTGGAAGACAGTGGTCTGAGCAGTGTCTGCCTTCCCCAGAGCAGGGGATTCCCTGTGCCCTCTTGTGAGGGGCTGGGGGAGCTGCAGGAGGATTTTGCATCACTGCTCTGTGTGTGTGGCAGGGTTGAAACATGAACTACTGATGTCAGGAGGAGTTCCAGAGCTCAGGTGTGGATCAGGGGCTGGTGAACATGCTGATGAGTGAGTAGTAAAAGGGAGACCTCAACAAGCAAACTAGGGTAAAATCGCTTCTTTGCTCCAGAGAATGAAGTGAGATGTATCTGCATGTGAGAGGAAGTCACAGGGCTTTTTGTCTTCTGGGAGTACAGAATGTTCCTGCAAATAGTACTGGGGAGCTCAAGGGACACAAATGTGCCATTAAAACAAAACAGTATCAATGTCTTGGGAAAATATGAAGTATTCTGACAGCTTCTCCTTAAGTACTGAAGGAAAAAGAAAATACCACTGCTTTAGTTCAAAGATCTTCCTATGATGCCTAAGGAATATTCCATAATAAAGATTCTGATGTAGGAATTGCTTGTCACTTGCAGCAGCCATGCCTGTGTGTATGCCTGTCTGCATCTTGAAATCATCACAGGGACTCTTGCAGCTGAAATCTCCCCCATTATTGAGTCCATGTGCATCTGGAGCCTCCAGACATCTGCAGCACCACTTGAAGTGCTGTTAGTGAAGATAAGTAACCGTTTAGTACTAGTTTATGCTGTGACAGTGAACTCTAGCAATGGAATGCTGCTGTGAAGGGGACTAGATGATTTCCTCTCTGTAGCTGTTTTTGCTTCAGTCCTTACACACAGGGACAATGGGTATCTTTTCAATTGCTTCTTCAGGAAACCACACCACAGTTTTCTTCTGCCATTGCGAAATGGTGCTTTTTAAGTATGAGACATTTCTGATTCATGAAGATATGAATTGCATTTCTTGTACAAGAATAGTTGGAAATAGATGACTATTGCCTGGGGGGAACCAAAACTGATGGGCCTTGTGTAAAGAGGTCTTGACTCCTGGGTGGGTGCTTGGCACATGTAGTTGACCTACTTTAGCTCTGACCTTGATTTGCTCAGAGGTGTTTATGTACTCGTGATCAGCTTTGCTGCATGATTAAGCTGGTCACGTGTTATCTAACTTTTTTTTTTTTTACAAGGGATGAACAGTAAGATTTCTTTTTAATGTCTCATTAGCCTTGTTACAGGAGATTGGAGAAAGATGGAATGCAAGGAAGGGGAATCCCGAAGGAAATAGAGTCCCAAACAGGCTGTAGAGAGAAACTGTCATGCGATACAATGACAAAATATCATTTGATTCTCATCTACAGAAGAATTTAATCAGGAAGTGGACTACATGGCATTTTTTCAAGTAGGTCTCTGGAGTACTTTGGCAACAGGCTTGGCATCATAAATGGAAGATTTGAACTTTGCTTAGAAATATATGGGTAACTTTTGCATTCTTTCTCATAGAGAATTTTTTTTTTAGCCATCGAGCAGCTGGAGGCTGAAAAAACAGTAAAATATTCAGTTTTCCAGAATTTTAGGAAAGCCTTGCAACAAAACACTTCTGAGCTGTTCACTATTTAGTGGGGCATGCTGATTTTTGCTCTGATCATTGGGTTGACATTTTCTTAACTTTAAACCTCATTTCAAGAGACATGCGTTGTTCTTAGCTCCTATAATGCTGAAATGTAGGACTGTGATTGTTAGAACTGGGATGAGCATTTGGGACATGATAGAGAAAGGGTGATAGAGAAAGGGCTGACTGGAAAGGAAATTGAGAATTCTGCTTTTTATGTATGGGTTTTTTTTTTTTTCTTAAATGGTCAAAACTTAAAATAGCTGCTTTGGAACTATCAAAATAGTTATAATTTAAAATAGCAGCACAGTTGAATGGATACTTGATTTCAAGATTTTTCTTTTCTGTGAAACTGATTTGAAATTTTTGTTTGAGATGATCAACAATTTTTTTTTTGACTTGTGCAGTGTTCTCATTATGAAGCTAAAATACTGACTGTTGCAGGCAGTCTTAAAGGGATAGGACTATGTTAAACTTAGAGACCCTTCCCCCCCCTTTTTAATTTGTTAAGTCCAGCTCATCCCAACCTTTTGTCTGAGTGGTCCATGAAATATAAAACAGTAAAATGTGAGTTCAACAGGTTCTCTCACATATAGAAGTGTTCAGAAACTTGTGAAAGTCAATTGTGGATGGTTGGGTCAGAAATTTCAAGAAGTGCTTGTTTCTAGTATGTGCATTGTGCTGTGCTTGGGGTTTGTATCAGGTTCCAAGATGGAATCATAAGTCATTTGCTGTGACAGTGCTCTTACCACTGGATTCATAGGGCTTAGCCAGGGGCCACACTAAGTTTAGCTATAACCAATTTCTGCACATCAAGTGAGGCTGGAGATAATGTTTTTGAGTCTAAACCAAGCACAGAGACATGGCCAGTGACTGTGGTCTGACTGATAAAGCAAGATGCAGTAATCTCATACCCCACAGTAACATAACCGTGTCTGAAGCTGTTGGGCTGCTTTGGGTAAGAGGGACAAGGCAGACAATGAGAAAAGGCTGACACAGGGAGAAAGTAGGGCCTGGTCTACAAGTAACTGTATGAGTGTGAATGGAAGCCTTGTAAAACAAGTGTGATTATGGATTCAATGGCAGTTTATAGTTTGACTTAAATTTATACTGATTTGGCTTTTGTCAGTGAACTTTTGCTTTGGCCTCTTAACATGTGTGTACCAATGTGCCTAGACATTCTCAAAAATGGAAAAGGAGGTTTTTTGGGAAAGTACCACAGAGAAGTTGTTGGGTGAGACAGACAACGTGCCCCTAGGAGAGTTCTAGAAGCTCTGCTTCTAGAACAACAGTGATCCTGTTCAGAAGTTGGTGGTATGTAAGCAGTGAGCTGCCTAACCTTAGAAGAAGAGCTGCAATCCTGACTTATTATCATAACAGGGCCAGTGAATTAGATAATTTACACTTGTGAATGTCTGAATTTGCTATTTTGGCAGCACTGCAGAAAGTTACACCAAATGATTTTGGATTTTGTGAGGTTTCTGTTGGCTTATAACTTATAACGTGTTCTGTATATGTGATTCAGTAGAATTGGTTATAATTTGGTCATGTTGACAGAACACTGGTTGTTTGACTTGTGAGCTTCTGAGAGTGTCATGGGAGCTGCTTGTTCTGTGTAATTGGGAAGTTCTACTGTTGTCACAGGTTGGAAGGGCAGTTCATGGATGCATTAACCAGAAAACAATGTATCCAATAGACCTGCAAAGTTTTTTTACAGGAGGAAGACATAGAACATTTTTAAGTCTTCCATAGTAAGTTTTGTTGAAAAACTTGTTTTGTGAGAGCAATCTGGAAGGGAAGGGTATCCACCTGCAGACCAACCACTAAGTTTACAGTATAGCTGGGAAACACATTTAAGGACTTGAGTTGTAGTATGAGCTGTGGATTTTATATAAAACTTGAAGCCTGCAGAATAGAACAACACTTAACCCCTGTCCTTCAAAAATGCCAACTGCTGTTACAGGAAAAATAAAACAGTAAGCCAAGTCCAAACCGTCTTACTGCTTTGGCCACCTTAAAATAAGGCAGTCAGGAGGGAAGGGATAAGTCTGTCTTTTGCACTGTGACAGCAGTTTAAGTTGTTCTGTCATCATCTGACAACAGATGTGTTCATGGCTGTGGTTGTGTGATCATTGATTATGAGCAGAGGGGTTTATGCAGAGACCAAAGAATGATAAACAGGGCCCAAATGGAAGGGATGCTGAAGAGATTTCTTTTGTTCCACAGCTTGGTCCATTGGAGATACACATCCCAACATCTAACCCTTTTGATGGATGGATAAAGCTTCTATACTTTATAAGGAAATGAATATTTTATCCTTGACTAGGAAATATGTATTGCTGTTGTAAACTGTGTCTGAAACATTTGTTCTAAACAAGCTTGTTTTGAAGCTGTTTTTTAAGCTTGCTGGTTTTCCTCCCATTCAGGTTTTTGAGAGTATTTGACCAACAGAATATGAGGCATGGAAGAGTTCTAAGGTGATCAGCTGCTTTGGGCTGAGCATCATCATCTTTGTTCAGGTGGATCTAGGCTTCCAAGACAGGCCTTCAGGTAAAAACTCCTCTGTTTCACAGTTGATGCTATTTAGAAATGAACTTTTTATAGGATTTCTTCCAACAATATAATTACTTGCATTCTGGAGGATTAAAAAAGTCTGTGTTTTGGATGAAAAAGCCAATTAGATTAATTTGTACTTTTAAATAGTCTTAGACCATCATTGAGTTATTAGGATTTTTATTTGTGGAGTCTGCTACGATGGAGGTGTTTTATTTCTGTGGAAATCTGCTGAATTCTGTTCCATGAAATTCAGTGGAGTTATAACTTTTAAAGCTTGTGGACTTTGATAATGTGATCTTCGAATGGAGAGACACGCTAAAACTAGTGTTCCTAGTCAGCAGTATTTCTGTTAGGTAAAAATAATTGGCTGGCCAGTTAAAATAAGAGTGAACCTGGTTTAGTTAAAGATCATGCTGACAGTTCTTTAAAAACAATTGTGTTGAGTGATGTGTTTTGAGAATGGTCATGGTTTGTGTGCAATATTCAATACATTGGTATATGGAAAAGGAGAAATTGCCTATTACCTGGTTTATGGCAAAAGAAAATAACAGAAACCGTGATTTTCACAGTTTTTAAGGATGCTAAATTTGTAGATAAGTTTTTTTTGGTTAAAAATATGTGTGAGTTTCCGTTTATATTAATGCAGTGGTTTTTTGGTTGGTGGGTTTGTTGTTTTTTTTTTTTCCCTAGTGTTAGACAGTCCAATGGCAGACCAAAGGATGGACATATCTTCTACAATTAGTGACTTTATGTCACCAGACCCTGCTGACTTGATCTCCAGTTCCCTTAGCACTTCAGGAATGGATTGTAATAGAAAAAGAAAGGGAAGCTCTACCGATTATCAGTAAGTTGGATTTCTCTTGCTTTAGCTCTGCTAAAAAGAGGTGGTAACACAACAATATGGTGGGGGAGACCATAGTAATATAGCCATTTTTAAATAATCTCTTCTTGACAACCTGCCTTAAAGGTTTCAATAAAGAAAAAAGCTGCTATGCACTAAGAGGAAAGTTCATTATTTAATAATTAAAATAAAGCTGTCATCTCAGTGCCGCTGGAATTGAGGGCTATCAGATGGGGTAAGGCTGAGGAGAAAAACTTTTGGCTGATGGGAGGGTGAAATTAGTGCTGATGGAATGTACAGTGTGAAGGTTTGATTATATTGACTGTTGACATAGGAAATAGAATGTCTGACTAGTGGAGGGGGAAGGTAATAAATTTATTGAAAAGCAGAAGCAAAACTAGAAGTTGTTCCTTTTCTTCACCTATTTTTTGCCTATTTAGTCACTTCCTATCAGTGTGCTGCCAGCCTTTGCCTGATGAAACTATTCTGGTCCCTCAGTCAAATATGAATTGGAATAGTCTCTGGTTTAAAGCTTTAGAGATGCCTTTCATTTAATCAACTGGTTTAATCTTGTGTTGATTCTCAACTGTAGGCTATTAATCCTGACACAATAAAAACCTGATTTCTTCTCAGTCAGTGGTAGAATGTGGCTTTATTTCAAGAAAGCTGCTTTCTCATTAAGGGAAGCTTGCTAACAACAGTGCTCAGAAGCACTTTCCAAGCCATAGCTTCTCTCCTGGGGCAGGTGTTTGAAATAGAAAGAAATGCCACCAACTCTGCTTTAGGTATTGAATATTTTAGTAGAGTTTGCCAAATTTCCAAATGTGCAATGTCTCCAGCACTAGGAACACCGAAATCAACCTACTTACTCCAAGTCACTGTGCAAACCTCCTATGTGTTGTAACTTAATAAAGTCTGGCTGCAGGATAGCTTGGGAATGGACACATCCGTTATTCGTACGGCCACAGAGTCTGGTTTTATGTAACTTAGCACAGATTTTATCACTGTGGGCTTTGTAGTGTTGGCAGTTCCTTTTACAGGGAGGGGCAGAATTTTTATTTCATGCCAAGCCTGACAATTAAGAATTACATTCTCTGTGCATAGGACTTCTTTTTAGGACATCTTATGCACAAAACTTTATGTACTTTTTAAAGACCACAAACATACTGCATATGTACCTTCTCTAACATGCCTTTAGTCTTCTTGAAAAGTACATGAGTACCTCCGGTTGAATTGACTACTAGAAAATTCAGTGAGCAGCTTCAATCTTAGCAACTTCTTCTCTAGAGAAAGGATTTCTCCATCTTTATTCTTCTAGGTAGTAAGCATTGCTCAAGTCCTCTTTTCCAAAAGACACCTTGCTCTTGTAATAATTCTGCCCTTTAGGTTTTGTGTGCATTTTTTTTTAAATGTGTGAAAACACTGTTTCCTTGAATACTCAGTGAAATAAGTTTACAACAGCTGTAGTCATACCACAAGTCATGTTGTGTTGCAAAGGAAATGGTGGCTAGTAAATGTTCCTCTTTTAAATTAGAACTTAAGGTCGACTACCTTGATTCCTCTTGATATATGGATGGATGGACAAATGCTCAGAAATGCTACTGTTCAACTTTTGCTGCCTTAATTTATTTTTTACATAAATTTTCTCAGTGTCCAGTTTTATGCTTCATGGACCAGTGAAGCCAGGGAGCAAGGAAGGCAGAACCCAACTGTTTTAGTGTGGTTCTTTGTTCAGCTCCCAAGTACAAGGAAATGTATTGATCAGCTGCACTTTTAGCTCTCTTTTAATTCTTTCTCCTGCAAGTCCTCCAGGAAAATTCCTGCCCAGCCCATTCTATCACTTCAGCAAAGGCTGTTCTCCACTGTGTTCTGTTTTAGTCAAACGCTACAGTCCAAGGCTTCATGCACAGGTCTACAAACTGTTAATTTCTTTTTGTAGGACTAATGTTTTCAACTGAAATAAAATATGATAAGAAAACAAACTATCCTGACGCATTTGTAACTTACCTTGTACCTCTTTTAGATTTTGCTTTCTGGGGTTGTTTTAAGGCCGAAATGAATTTTGTTACAACAAGCATTCCGGAGCTAAAGGTGGTATCACAAGTGCTGTCTAATAGTGAGCATCGGGAGTGCTTTTAGCCCACAGCTAAAATGGTAACTCCGGGCCTCAGATGGAGACATGAAGAAAACATTGAACATTATTCAAACTTCTTTTTAAAGCTAATCAAAAATATAATTGATCTAAGAGAGTGGTGAAAAATATATGAAACTCTACTATGTTTCTTTTTAAGAAGGCTTATGTCCACTGTTGAATACAAATAACTAGTATGTTAATGGCTGAAATGAGAAGACTTTTTCATAAGGCTTTTATAAAACAGCCTCAGTGCTATTTCAGGTCACTTTACAGTCTTGAAGTGATGCCAGCAGTTAGTGTGCATGTAGAAATTCGGTTTATTTCCTTATGATATGATAAAGTCTGTATAAAGTTCAGACTTGGGACTTCACTACTGACTGAAGCAAAATGTGCATCTGTCCTGCTGGACAAGCACCATCAAAAACTGAGAAACTTGGTATACTTTATTTTTATTTTTATGTTTTATTTCTGGCCTTAGAATCCTCTGAAATCCCATTTGTCTAACCACAAGGACAACACGCATAAAGCACAGATCTTTCCTTTCTGAAGATGAAACAATATCTCAATGATTTGCATAACATAATTTAGGTTAGTTGTTTTACTAGTTTTTCCACATTAAGTGTCATGAAGTATGCTATCTTTTCTTAAAAAGCAGAATTATTCTTTCAGGAAGTAGATTAATTTGAACAAGCTTGTTTCTTTAGAATACACTCACTGCTATTGTCCTGTTTTCATTGTACTTTCATTTCAAATAGAATATGATTTAACTTGAGCATTTCAGCAGAAAATGTAAGACATTCTTCTTATTTCCTATATATGGTGTACTCTATTTTTCTTTCTTTTCAGACTCGATGGCTTTCCTTTTGAGTAAGTATAAATATTTTAGTAATTCATTTCACTCGAAAAAGTTGCTCAGCATTTTTTCCTTACCGTTCCCTTCCACTTACTTAAAATTTGCAGGCAAAGTTAAAACAGAATAAACCAGGCCTAAGAGAGTCCATTTAAGCACAGTTGTAGAGATTTATATAAATCAAAACATTCTCTTCCTACTTATTTAGTCTAACCAAAGACATGCAGTCATAGTCATTAAACTTTTTTTTACTAAATACAACTGGGAAAACTTACACTTTCCTCTCCTGCTTATTTTTGTACATATGGTTACAATCTTAAAATGAAATTAGTGGGATCTCTTCTATTCCCCTTCTGTTCTTCATGCCTTCTTTGTTTTTTACTTTCATGCTGAAACAAAAGCAAGCTGAAATTCGTACCAGTTTAAAACATACCTGTGTAGTTTCATACAGTCTTTTGCTCTCTCCATGCACATTTGGCCATCTCCAGTGGTTCTTTGGTCTAGATTATAACCATCTTCCATCCCAAAATCAACTACCGTGAGGCAAACTGGGGTGTAGAACACACAAGCATCTGCACGAAGCAATTCAGGACAATTTGTGAATTTTATGCAAGGCACTTTGATAACTACCTCTGGTCCAACTTGTAACTCCAGTAAATGCAGGGTGGTAGAGCTAGTGCTGATGAAGGCTTAAAAATAGCTGCTTTGGTATGTCCTTCCCCCTCCCACCCCAGTTAACTGAAAAACATTTTTATAACAGATGAAATCTTTGAACTGCAGCATGTTTTACTGTCAAACACATCAAACTGTGCCATTTAGTTAGTTCTGAAGGAGACACAAATAATTTAGGAAAATGCTTTAATATTACAAAAACCACACAACTTTATGTTGCTTTTGTGTTCTTATTTTTTATTTATGATTTAAAGATGACAGCAATACTTTATTCTAATTTTATGACAGTTTGATGACTGTTCTGCTAATCCTGCTGAATTTGTGATTTGTTGCTTTTGCTCTGTCTCTGCAGGGAAGGTATGGATACAGATAAAGATGACCAACATGGAAGGTACTGGTGATACAGTCACTGAAATGTTAGTTCCACAGTACTGACATAGGATCCTGTCTGTGGATACCTGTTCTCAGTGTCATTGTGGTCATGTGCCCCAAATTATTTCTTTGCCGGGATAAAGGCATAAGATTGTAAACCAAAGTAAAACAGACAAGCAAAAAAACTAAACGCCAAACTTTGAGACATAGTATTATGAATATTGTTCTTTCTCTAGAAAGGTTTAATACATATTCAGATTCTAAAAAACTGATTTTAACGAGGATCAGTAGTTATGTAAGATGCATTAAAAGAATTGGGTTGAGTAATTTCAGCATTGTAACCTTGTGATGTTGTTTCTCAACAGACTGGAGTATGCAGACCAACAAGGCAGAATAAAAAATGCAAGGTAATGCTTTAAAGAAGTATATTAAAAAGGATTATCTCTTGCTTTTTGCCATATATGAATTATTTTCATGTGTTTTTTCTCCTGAAAATATTTTTGTTCTGACTTTGGCCTCCCCTTAGTTTTCCATAACTCTGCACTGCTAATATTTTCCATTAGGTTTGCATGTAGTTTTGTGAAAATGCTAATTTGGTAGGTAACTTGGGTTTAGTCACTTCACTAGTGTTGAAATTGAAGCCAGTATGTTTCTGATAATGTTACATTCTTCATCTTGCTTCTTTGAGGCTCATTAATGGGTTGTACAAGTGTTAACAGTGAGTCTTACTTAATATGGGAAAATATAACCCCAAATTAAATTGTTTAGTGTTTATAGTTAATTTTTCTGATGAGGAAAAGTTTGGTTCAGAGGAATCTCAAATACGTAAAATAAAAAGCTATAGGATGAGTAGAAGACTTGTATTGCCACAGCAAAAAGTAGTTTTAAATATTTAGTACGTTCCTGTAGTATAGTGCTAAGGATAAAAGTGGTGCACAGCAGCAGAAACCTCTGGATGATTTGGCACTGTTTAGTGAATTGGTTCAGAACTGTGTACTGTATGGCCAAAGTTATGCATGTTTTCTGATAAATTAGAACCGTGTGCTGCAGCCTTGCCTCTTGCTTATCTTATTACCCAAATCACAGACATAAAGGGTCTGAAGAATTCTGTATGTTGGTGTCCTTCTCGCAAGGACAAGAGGGTAACAATTACCATAAGGAGGTTACATTTGTGGTTTTGTCATGCTGGATTTGGGCATTTTTTAGCATGCTTTATTTCTCATGCTTTTCTGTTTTCCTTCACCACCTTCCTTGCTCAGGGAGGCTCACAGTCAGATCGAGAAGAGGCGCAGAGATAAAATGAACAGTTTCATAGATGAACTGGCCTCACTGGTCCCAACATGCAACGCGATGTCTCGGAAGCTGGACAAGCTCACCGTGCTGAGAATGGCTGTGCAGCACATGAAAACACTACGTGGTGAGTTGGCTGGGGCTGGAGGAGAAGGATCCAAAATGTGATCTCCCCAATGCCACGCTTTTCCTCTCCTTTTCTTGCCCTTTTACCAAAAAGGAGCAAGTCAGTACATTTTGGGAGGATGTCTCCCTGCTTCTTAGCATTCGATGCCAAGTGTTCATAGCTTACTAGTTCATATCCTGTTCTGATGGGAAAATCTGGGATGAGGAAAGAATAGTTTTCCATCATCTACCCTAGTGATCGTTGTCACCAGGCCCCAAAGCACCAAGGCAGCTGAGGAAGGTGGAGAGAGGGAACAAAGGGCTTAAGTGGCAGTGCACAGTTGGTTCTAAGCTCTAAGCAAGCAATGTGCAAAACTGGTTGGATAGAGAGGCTGGATTTTAGGTGTGAGTAATATTCCAACAGGACTTGTAAGGTTTTGTGTTCATACCTTTCGAAAGAGTGGAGAGCAATTTGAAAATTCAATTTTAGTCTTTACAATTTTAGTCTTCGGAAACCAATTTCTGTTGCAAGCACATGAAGGGAAACATGCAGGTTTGGAAGAGTTGGAGGCGTTGCATATCTCTGTGTGTCCTAAAGCTTCATATCAGAGTGAGCCAGTGCTTGGGTACAATTGGTGATGATATTGAAAGCTTAAGACTTTAGGAAATACACTGCTGAGAAAAGATACAAATGCAGCTAATTTAAAAAAAGAGCCAATGTTCTCATTTCTAGGAGAACTGGTGTCTCCCATCTTTATCCTGATGTTTTTGAAAGGTTTAACTTTTCTGCCATTGTGATTTAATTAGGTTAATACTTCATAACACCTCAGTGGTTACTGATTTTATTACCTTTATGAAGGGAATAGAATGAAAGGAATTACTCTTCAATAAATAGCTGCCTCATTTGTTGCCAGTTTGGGGGTTTTGGCATTGTGAGATGATGTCACTGAAATGCTGTTTTTGTCTTTGATGCAGAATGAGAGAACTGATTTGTAAATTCCCAAGTGACAATTTGTTTACATGAGCTTGTCATGTTTTGCTAAGTTATAAGGAGAAGAAATAGTTTGAATGTTTTTATTCTTTAATCTCTTATTTTAAATTTCTGAGGCTAGACCATAGATCAAGGACAGGATTTGGGTTAAAAAATATGTCAAGGAATGCTTTTGTGTCTCAGAAGGCATTACTACACAATGCAGTATTTGTGTTTTCGCAAAAAAAAGCTTCATCCTCTTTTAAGTTAATACCAACAGAGCTTATGTTGATAGTAAAATAAAACCAAAAAGTAAGTAATTTTCATTTTACAGAACATTTGCAGTGAACAACAGTCTTAAAAGGAGCCAAAGGAAAAGTGCTCATTAAAATGTGTATTGTTAAATTGGTGATAAGGGAATTGTTTTTGTTTTCTTTAGGTGCTACAAATCCATATACAGAAGCAAACTATAAGCCTGCTTTTCTATCAGATGATGAATTAAAGCATCTTATTCTCAGGGTATGTTTCAACTCTTAATTAAGCGATATTAATGGCTGTGAATATGACTGTCCCAAAGCACACCACCAGTATTTTAATGCCTTGTATCTCAGCTTAAAAATGTTTTGATTATGGAGGATAATTAAAAAATCTTCAGACTGCTCATAGAGCTGATGAGTTTAACAATGACTGGCATTTTTTAATTTAAGCAGAAAGATTAAAGAGGGAGATTTGAAGAGACTGGTATTTTGCTGGTAACCATCAGAATCTTCAGTTATTTCATGAAACAAACCAAAATTATATAAATTATGTTCTTGCAGACTTTCTGCCACAGGCTCCCTTGCCATGATTTTCAGTGTACAGTGATATAAGGAGCACCCTTTTTTGAGGTCACTGATTAACATGACTTAGTGTGTTTGGCTGCTTGCTGTGAACTTGGCTTACAGAGGATATCTCACTTGTCAGTGATTGAGCTCTTCCTGTAGCTTGCGTAACTGATGGAACACTGCAGTGTCCAGATCAGCATATGCAGAATTAATTTATGCCACATTGTGTCTCCAAAGCTGTAAAATTGGGGCCTATTCCTGCGTGTTTGTGTGTGACTGAATAAGAGTACTTTGAAAATGTGAATCAGTTGCCTACAGGCACAGAAATAAATATCCAGGTTATATTTGGTTTCTAAAAGAGGAACTACGGAGTAAATACAGTTAAAATAATATTTTAATTTGAAGACATTATTAAACATAATCATAATATTATTGGGCAAGACATGGGTTCTTTCTTCTCATAGAAGTTATTTTACATCCTGGGCATGATGCCCAGAATGATGCCAAAAATGTTTGCAGATGCAAAAAACACCTATTGTAATTTCACATTTTGCCTGTTGACTCAGTTATCTCTAAATGTTAAGACAGCGCTCCTAGTGTAGAAATTCTTCTCAATACATACTGTCTTTAAGGGTTATAATGTTGCAACGAGGAAGTGTAACTTAATATTTTACTTTTTTTTTTTTTGTTTTAATTAGGCAGCAGATGGATTTCTTTTTGTTGTGGGCTGTGACAGAGGAAAGATACTTTTTGTTTCGGAATCTGTTTTCAAGATCCTCAACTATAGCCAGGTATTCTTTTCCTATTCAAGTAATGTTAGGTCTTAAAAAATTTGAGAGCTTTTTTTATGGTAATGCATTTTGTATGGGAGGCAGGTTTGTGAATAGTCTGCCTTGAAAGCTGAGAGGTGTTGCAAAGAGAGAGCTTTTCCCTGCCATGGCATTAGAGACAATTGTTTCTGGTTTCCATTCAAACTTAGGAGGTGAAAGGGAACTAACTTTAATTCCCTGATTGATGCATTCTGATCAGGGATTTACCCTCAGGCTTGCAAAAACGTTATGTAATAAGCAAATACTGAAAAATCAGTCTGGGGCTCTTCCAATCGCTTCACGTGGATTTTTGACTTAGTTTTCTTTCTGTCTGCTCTGGTTTTCCTTGCATCCTTACTGGTGGAAACTGGGAAGCAATTATACCAAAGGCAGGTTTTCAATATATGCTCATCATAAGGCTTAACTTGGACCATATTTTGTGTAAATAATCTTCTTCATTCTTTCTGTTATCTGCACTCCTTACCAAATTTAAAACCTCCAAGCTTGCATGCTTAAGGATCCTAAAACAACTAAGAAACTTTAAAAAAAGGCTTTAAAAGTTTTCCTGAGCCAGCTCTTAGTCAGGTATATACTAAATACATATTCATATGTAAACATCGAAGGAGAATATTTGCAATTACAATTTTTTTCCTTCAAATGTGGGGTATATAAAGTGAGATTGTGGAGAAACCAGGATATTTGGTGGTGGTGGATTGAACATGCCAGTTCTGCAAAACTCTTACTAAAAATGATGACATAAATTACTGTAGTGTAGTTATAATGTAGATATACAGAGAAAACGTACCTTCCATCAAATCATAGAATAGTTTGATTTAAAAGAGAACCTTTAAAGGTCATCCACTCCCACCCCCCTGCAATGAGGCTGGATCTTGGATGTTTGATGTTAGACCTGTACGTAAAAGGATTGTTCATACTGGATGATAAAATTGAGAAAATATACTGAACCATTATTTTACTTTTTGACTGAATATTCAATCTCTACAGAATGATTTGATTGGTCAAAGTTTATTTGATTATCTCCATCCTAAAGACATTGCCAAAGTGAAAGAGCAGCTCTCTTCTTCTGACACTGCACCACGGGAAAGGCTCATAGATGCAAAAAGTAAGTGTTACCACCTTTTGAAAACGTGTTGTATGTCCAAATTCACTGCTTCTGAGTATATGCCTCATGTCAGAAGTGGGAGGGTGTGTGGCTGCTGTCTGGATTGGCTCATGCCGAGGAAGTTTTAGCTGAAAGATGGGAAGAAACAAGAAAAGTAAAACGAAATAAGTATGAAACAGATACCTGAATGTAGAAGCTGTTGGGTTTGGCGTGCCCTGCTCTATAGATGCATTACTTGAACTGACTTCACCTGTGAAGTATCCTGTCTTTTTCCAGGCATCAAAAGTTTAACTTTTTCTGCTAAAACATGTGAACCATTTTTTCTAATCCATCATTCTCAATTTTCAGAATACACTCAGTATTATTTTGGTAATCCTTAGCTGGAAGCCGAGATAGAAGTTTCATTGTAGTTATCTGTTTATTGGTTATTTATTACCACTTCCATCAATGACCCACTCTTTCTTTTAGAAGGTTTTTAACCTGGTCCTTGGAATCATTTCCTACCATGTCTCTTAGCTCTATTCCACTCTGGTATTTTAAATAGCTCAGTATCTCTGCTGCTTTTGAGGTGAGTGGGTGTTTAATTCTCTCTCATGACAGGAATCCGTGTTGCTTAAGTAGAAGGTGGTATCTTAAAACTGCAAATTTCCAGGTCATTAAGTCTCATGCTTGCCAGAAGCAGAAAACTCTAGGATCTTGTCTCATAGAAGCCACCAGCTTAACTTCACAAACTGAAGCTGAGAGAGATCATTCCAGGGCAGGGAGCCTGGAGGCTTCAGCAGAATCAACTCAAGTTTTTTCTGGCTCCTGGTTTTGTCGGTTGTCAAGCATGTATTCTTTTTTTTGTGTGTGTGCCTTTGACAAAGTTAGGGCAAAAATAAATACTATGAATTACAGTCTTCCCATCTGCTATGATAGACTGATTGGTAGGATTTCAAGAACTCATATTGGTGAAGAGTACTAGTATGTATGTGCATGTTTATTTTTATGTTGGCACGAGTGACTCAGGCACAGCTTGTTCTCTCACCATGGAACAGTAGTTTAGAGTGCATATGGTGCAGGGCAGTTTGACCTCCTAGAGGTCACCTCACTTGATTTTAATTTTTAAGGGAGGCACACTTTTCCACTAAAATATTGGAATTGTTGTCTTCCTCCTTATGTCAAAAGTCTACAGGGCCTGAGAAGTTTTTGTGCACTGTTGTAGCAGTTTGATTATCCATATTCCCATGCAGAAATAGTTGGAGTGGGTAGCAGGCTGTGGAAAAGTTGCTGTGTGATTAAAATCCTCCATCAGCTCTTGGAGCACTGCCCCTGGAGCTCCAGCTGCATCACTGGCCTTGCTCCTGATGCATCCCAGGTGTCTTCCCAAAGCCCTGTTTGTACCAGCACTCACTGTTGGTTCCCAGAGCGATGCATTTTGGTTGTTTTTCCAATCCCTTTCCACAGAAAAGAATCTAAGAATCTCCTGGAAGAATATGATAAATGTCAGGGGTTGTTGTCAGGGCATGTCCCTATGCAGTTATTTTTGCAAGGCTAGGGAGACTTCTTAAACCTAAGTGTAGGTCTTGGGGATTTGCAGTCCCTGTGTAGGTCCCTGCTACCTTTTTATCTCCTTCCATCAGAACAGTAAAAAAATCTGAAACACACTGGTTGAGATGGACCTGGAATGGCACTGGGGCTCTTCTGTTCTGAACATGCAGCTGTGCTCTCTGGGGGGTTGTTGTGATAGAAGAGTGCAGTGCAAAGGGTCAGGGTCCTATTGAGTGGCTATGTACAGAACACTTCTCTGGTTATGGGGAAATAATCTCTCTTCTAATCAGTTGATTGTTGTTCAGAGAAATCACAAAATTTATTACTGGACTTGAGTGGATTTGTACAACCTTTTGCTAATCTGTGCATTTAGAACCCCATGTTGTCCAGCTTTGTGTCAGTGTTCTCACAGCAGAAAGTGTAACCAGTTGAAAGGGTCAGTTGAGTCCTGCACAGTCACTTAAGTGCAAATCTCAAAAATAGGACTTGTGCTCCGGAAGAAGGATTTAAATGGGCTTCTGTGCGAGTCCCAGTGAAGTTGAAACACTGTGTGGTTGGGCAGTGTGGTGTAACCAGGTGTAGGGCTAACATTCCCCCTGACAAAGACCCTCCCTCACTCCCTGTTTGCTGCAGCCGGACTCCCAGTCAAAACCGACATCACACCTGGGCCATCGCGACTCTGTTCGGGAGCACGAAGGTCCTTCTTCTGCAGGATGAAGTGCAATAGGCCTTCAGTGAAAGTAGAAGACAAGGATTTCCCTTCAACCTGTTCAAAGAAGAAAGGTAACTATTATGCATTTTGTTACCAAATATTTCTTAGTAAGATTCTGAACTATGTCTAGGTCTGTTACTTCTTCAAACTACCCCCCTGCCACCGCTCCAGTATCTCTTACACACTGTATTAGCATATAAAGACAAATTCTCTGGTGTCCCTGCCCCTGGCACAGGGGGTTGAAACTAGATGATCTTTAATGTCCCTTCCAACTCAAACCATTCTGTGATTCTCCATTCTGCTTCCTTGGAGGTTTTGCAGGCAGGTTATGCCAACAGCTCTGGGGTGGTTGTTGTCCTTCAAGCATTGACCATCTCGCCAAAGTCTCCAACAAAGGGGAGCTGTTCCTTCTTCTGTTTCTCTGCTCCGTATTTGACAAGTGATATTTGGATGGGTATCCACTTTAAAAAAGAGTTTATTCTGAGTTCATCTGCAGGTTTGATACATTCTGACTGCTGGAAACATGGCATTTCTCCATGAGGAATGTCTGGTCATAACTTTATCAGTGTTGGTAATATCTTTTTCCTGTTATTCTAGACATGTTTGAATATAGATTTAGCCCAAATTTGACAGTTTCTTCTCTGAGTACTTTGGATAATACATTTGGTATTAGTTAAAGTGGAAAGACAAACAGCTAAAGAATGGAAGGCAATTTTTGTGTATTGTCTCTGCCCCAAGTACTTCCTGCGAGGTTTGGACACAGCTTCAGCCTTGGATCCTGCTTTTTGTGCTAATCCCCAAGGAAGCCAGTTGGTGCAGTTAGACATCAGCCTTTTACCTCCCTACGAAAGTCACTCTCGCAGTTTTCAGGCCTTCTCAGTGCTGAGGGATAGGAATTCCCCTTTTGGATACGGACTGTATTCATGGCCATTGTGAATCTTCATCCTCACCCCTGTGTACAGCTGTCCCTGGTACACACCAAACAGTGAATGTTCTGCCAAACATATTGTTCCTGGTTTTTGTAGGAGTTGAGAGGCCTCTTATTTATTAATCTACTAATGTCCTCAAACAGTCCTTTAGGTTATTTCCATCCTTTGCTAAAATAATACAATGCGATGCAATTTCTACTTGAAGATTACCAAAAGCAACCTTGGTCTGAGCTATTTTGCATTTCAGCATAAACAATGCTTTTGCCAAGATAAATTGTTCATTGGATTATCTCAGATTAGCTTCATTAAGGCACTAGTGCAGAAAATCCTCTAGAATCCCAGAATCATTAAGGTTGGAAAAGATCTCCAAGATCAAGTCCAAGCTTTGGCCAAACAGCACTGTATCGACTAAACCATGGCACTGAGAGCTAAATCGAGTAATTTCTTGAGCACCTCCAGAGGTGGTAACTTGACCAACTCCCTGGGCAGTCTGTTCGTCTGTTCCAATGCCTGACAACCCTTTCTGTGAAGAAATGTCTCCTAATGTCCAGCCTGAACCTCCCCTGGTGCAGCTTGAGGTCATTTCCTGTTTTCCTGTCACTGGTTGCCTGGGAGAGGAGGCCAAACCCCACCTCATCCCAGCCTCCTTTCAGGGAGTTGTGGAGAGTGATAAGCTCACCCCTGAGCCTCCTCCAGGCTAAACACCCCCAGCTCCCTCAGCCCCTCCTTAGTGAAGAGTATCCTGAATTTCCTGGATAAGAGAGGAGATACATTCTTAGCAGAACTGAGCTGAAGTTCCCCAAAGCTGTACCCACGACCTAACTGTTTTCTTGGGTTCTGTTCGTTTGTTTTTCGTTTGTTTTTTTTTTTCCCCTCTCTCTTTTCACAGCAGACCGCAAAAGCTTTTGCACTATTCATAGCACAGGATATTTAAAAAGCTGGCCTCCAACAAAGATGGGACTGGATGAGGATAACGAGCCAGATAATGAGGGCTGTAATTTGAGCTGCCTTGTTGCCATCGGGAGGCTCCATCCCCACGTGGTGCCACAGCCGGTGAACGGAGAGATACGGGTGAAACCTACGGAATACGTGTCCCGACATGCGATAGATGGGAAATTCGTTTTTGTAGATCAGAGGTGAGGGGACTTGTAGCAGCTTCCACGATAAGTCACTGCCCAACACTGCCTCACTCACAGCTTTACTTACAGCACTGTCAGTGCTGTTGAAAAAAACAAATTACTCTCCTTTTCAGCTTTTTACAAGATCCTGGCTGCAAGTTGTTTTGAGACAGAGCTCAAAGCTATTACTATGCATATATTCAGTATTACTGATGAAATTAAAAAAACCCAAAACTTCCAAAAATATTACCTACTAGGCAGAATAATCCCAGGATCATTTCTGCCAATTTGTTAATGATGATACGTATATGTGTAATCCTCAGAAGAACATGTGTTGAAACTGGACCCTAATTACTACCTCTTCGTTATTTGAAACCTTTTGCTAACACAATTAATTTATTACACAGGTTGCATTATGCTTTGATAGCATGGACATTTATTTAACTATTTCCTTGGGCACATTCTGCTGAATTCATTCTTCTCTGTATGTTCTTTTACGCTTCTAAGAAGGAAAGCTTTTTGTAAGGTTTATTTCTTGGAAAAGGCTTGAGAACTTGTGCCAGTGTGGTATCTGCTTTCAAACATCAATTTATTATCTGAAAGGTTAATTTTTTTTGCAGAAGAAATGGCTTGAATTTTCTCAAGTAGCAGATGCATGTGACCTGGGTCTTCCTTCAAAATAGTTGGCATTATATACAGGGGAAAAATGTGAGGGGCGATGTCGTGGTTTTGCTTTGGGTTAATTTGCTTTTGCACCCCTCACACAATTACTATTAGTTGAGAGAAGGTTTATGCAGACAAAAGAGACAGAATTTGGGGAAAATAGTATGAGTATTTATTACTAACAAGCTAAAATTAAAGAATTATATCTATAACAATTTTATTTAAATAAAAGTACTAAGTATTTACAGAAATACTCCTCCCCCCCTTTTATATCAGTCCAAGGAGGAGAAGCAGTCCTTTTCTCCAATCTCGAAATTCCAGTACTCTCTCTCCAATAACTCTGTAGTACCCTCATCACAGCTGGAACTTTTTCATTTCTCTCTTGCTTTGTGTCGGTCTCCAGGGCTGGGCCTACCCCCTCTCTGGGCTAAGACTGGAGGTTGGGGAGTTACTCAGGCCTTGAAGGTTTTTCCTTCCATAGGCTTGCAAGGGGACACTTGCCTACTATAGATCTTCTTCCACAGGGTTACAGGGGATAATGGTTTATAAGTCCACCCCTGTTCCCTATGGAAGTCCCTTCCCATGGGAGAACAGTCTTTGACAGACTTCTTGGCATGAGTCTAGCATGGACTCCTCTCTTGAATTCCCACATTTCACCTGAGCCATTCTTGCTCCAGTGTGAAGTTCTCTTTTTTTTTTCAAAGTCACAAATCTTCAGTAGCAGCATGGATCTTCTACACAGATCCCAAGCTTACCCAAGCCGTTCTGCTCCAGCGTAAGCCTCGTCCCTTCAGGGTTATAAAATCTTCAACAGGACTCTGCCTCATTTCAGTCCCTCTCATGAAGTCTCGATTCTCTTCGGTATATCCACAAGCTCCTCTGTGAGCTGCATGGGGGGGTCTCCTCACCCCAACAATCTTTTACAGGTGGCAGGGATTTACTTTTCAGTCTTTTCCCTGCTGAAGGGAGAGAGTAAAAAGGGGAAGAAATAAGTTCCCTTTGCACGGTTCTTCTCTCTCCTCTGGTTGCCAGTTTTGACCTTGGACACTGTTATCTCTTTGCTGGAATTTCTTCTGCTGCGGTTTCTGTCCAAGCAGTTAGTCTTTTAAACTTTTTTTTTTTCACTCTCTTACAAGAGAGAAGGGGGGACTTCAGTGCTACACCTACCCCGTGGCCCAAGCCAGGGGAGGAGGAGGCCTGGCCCTCCTCGGGCCCACTGCTCTTCTACATGGCTGCTGCCCTTAATTTCAACTGCGACACAACCCTTCTCTTCCGTTTTCTTAAAATATGTAATTAGCAAAGGCATTACTGAGAGTTTTAATTGGCTTCTTGTCCGGAAATTTACCTGGACAAAACTATTCTCAGCCCCAGGGGCTGGCCAGCTGGGCAAAACCACGACGAGAAGAAGGTTGAAGGATGTTAATGGAGAGGTTTCACTGGGTTGATTGGAGAGGGCTGGGTTGGTTCCCTTCCTTGTCAAGAGGGATTGAGAATTACCAGATGAGGCTGTTTGAGGTTACCTGTGGCTTTGACTCAGTTGCTTGTAATGTAGAAAAGCCCAGATTCCAAACTCTGGCAGGATCTGCTTGCTCGAATTGGTTTCAGGGGAGTGTCAGCTGATTCTTTTGTGGACTTTGAGAGGAAATAAAGCTGATAGTGATGAGAGGAAGTGCAATAAGGAGAATTTTTTTTTTTTTTTTTTTTTTGGTGGATGTTACCTATCTGGGTTGGGGTGGTTGGGTTTTGTGGGTTTTGGTTGGGTTTTTTGGTTATTTTTGTTTTTTATTTTGATTGAAAGCCTTTTAAAATACCAGGTCTTGAGTGTTTGGAGCTGAAGCTCACTCTGGGAGCTTTGGGAGCATTTGTAACCTTTCTGTTGTGCCAAAGATGGTAGTTTATGAACAAGCTTGATTTTCAAAAGATCAGACACATTCCCCTGATGGATAGTTTTGAAGTATTTCTGAAATAATGAGACTCAGAAAATGTCAACCCATTGAATTTAAACACATATGCTCTTATTTGTTTTCCAGCTGTTGTTTGCAGTCCTTGGAATGTGTATGCTACTTCAAAGGACTCTTTGAAAGGGAAATTTTTTAGAAGGCCTCATCTGTAGGCCTAAATTTGTCATCCTATGATCCCTGCTTCCACTGGAGGCATTTGTAAAACTTTAAAACAATTTATTTCCTTGTCAGTTTTTTGTGGTTTTTTTTTTGTCTGTATAGACTTGCCCTGTTCCTTTGTCATTTGTCCAAGGGAATTCAGGAAAGAAACACTTCTTAAACTCCCTGTGACCCTAAATTTTTGTCCTTATGGATTGTGTGATCCCTGGGAAAGCACTGCTATGGATTAGCTACCAACTACCACAGCCAGGGAACTGTTCAACAGTTCTCTGTTGAAATGGCAGCTACACTGAAAAAAGTTTTTTAAAGGAAATCATCTTCCTTCGTATTTATTAATTACTTTGAAGTTATTTGGATGGTGAATTTGGAAGTAAAATTAAGTTTATTATCTATACAGATGGCATCCATGTAGCTTCAGAATTCAGAGATGCCTTGTTAAGTCAGAGAAAGATGAAATTCAAGGACATGAACAATTTTGTTCCTTGCATAATAGAAACTGGTCAGATATTGAATTCACTAAGTCTGCTGAGATCTGCTGTGATTCTCCTTTCCAAAACAGCTGTTTATCGTGCTATGGAAAGGTTTGACAAGGTGGTTGCTGGTGCCCATATTGGTTGTTACCCGTCTGTGTTGGATGTCCCATCACTGCAGTGCTGTTAAAAGGCTTGGTTACTAAGGCCCATGGAAAAATACTGGAATAAGGTTGACCTGCTTCCTAGCTCTTCCATTTTAAAGGAAAACTGTGTTTTGCTGCTTTGTGGTTCTCCACCCACTCTGAGATAATTCATCAAAGCAGGCTTGGAGCTGTCAGCAGTTTGAGTTCCTGGGATAAGGCTCACCAGACAAAAGCCAGTTTGAATTCTTGTAATGTTTCCTTGTCCAAGGCTGAGGTCTCAGAGCCCCCTGAAGGAGAACTTGGGGTGTAAGGCACCTGATTGATGCTAAATGCTATTAATGTGTCTGGGAACACGCAAAAATGCCCTGCATTTAAATACTATGGATTTTGTGCTTCAGGGTTTTTTCCTTCTGTTCTTATTTACAATTATTAATATGTACTAATTTCTACATTTTATATTCTTTAATTTGGACTTCTTTGAGGTTGCAGAAGAGGTGATTATCTGTCTAGGTTTGTTCCTTATTGCCCTTCATATTTAATTTGCGTTGGATTGTGACTCTTATTCATGTTTTTTCAAGGAACTGTCATTTCTCCTTCACTAATTTTCCTCTAAGAAAGGTACAGAATCCAAGTTCACTTTAGTTCAGATGTTTTATTTGCTCTCTGTTTTTCTAGAGAGGTCTCACTCTGGAATCATTCAGCTGTGTTACTTCTGTTCCAATGTTCTTGAGCAGTTTCACTGGGGTTCCTGCAGATTTGATTCTCACCGTGTTCTCTGCCTTCTACATGAAATGCTGCATGTTTTGAGGTCTGCCTGGATGGCTTGCCCTGCTTTGTTCCTTCTCAGCTGTTTCTTCCTGCACCAGGATGTTTTAGAATGATTTTCCTGGGTGGGGGCTCTATTCTGTGCACCAGGGTGGCAGCAGTGTCCTGTTTTTCCCCAGATGCTCTCAAAATCCCTTCAACATTTCACAGATTGCTGTTGTACACAGTCTGCTGGGGGCGAGTGTGCACAATCCTAATGTACAGGGAGACAGCAATTCCCATTGCTCCCCCCATCTGTTATTTTTCCTGTTGGCGTTCTGGGCTTGATGAGTTATCCTGAGGAAGTTGTTACAGCTTCTAAACCATCAGCAACTCAAAGAATAACTTTGGTATTCTTGTTTTAAGCACACATATCTCTGGGGTGTTCAGCATATGGGGCAGTTGCTTCCTTGTGGAAATGACCCTTCCACAGTGTTGGGCTGTGGTTCAGCTCATTGTCACTCTCTGCACTGTTGCTTTGCCTGTTCCTCTTGAACTTAGTTTCAAGCTTGGGTTACCAAGTTCATTCACAAACTCTTCTCTTCCTGAGATTTTCTTGAGATGTCCTCCAGCCTTACCAGCAGCTCCTAACTGAGAGTCTCTTTGAGAGTCAGATCAAGAATAATCCAGGTCTTTCCCATGTTGTGGATCGCAGGTTCGTATTGTACTAAAGCTTTATGATGAGGAGGAAAATGAGTTGTCTTTGGCTGGTTTTGATGAAACAAAAAGTTGGTTTATCTGCTCTGTTTGATTTGCCACTGTTTGATTTCAGAGACACAGTAGGTCAGTAGGTTCAGTAGACACTGAGTAGGTCTCAATGCCTATCCAGGAAAATCCACTCTTAAGGCTTGTGACTTGAGAAAATGCTCCTGAAACACGTGTTGTGCAGTAATTTGGGCTCTGTGCAGCAGCACCACAGGTGTGAAAAGGAGCACAGCAGTTCTTCAAACCTTTGAAGCCTAGTTTTCAATGGCATTTTATGCAGAAAGCTTTGTATTATCTTGTGGCTGCTACAAGGCAGCTTTTTCAGGTTTAAATTCTCAAAATTACAGTGTATCTTCAAAGTTCTTCAGAAAGTCTTAGATCCCCTCTGGTGGTGGTAGGTCAGACATAATACCTGAGGGCTGTTGGTATTATATATACTTTTTTAATTACCTGAGAATTAAAAATAGTGTTCTTAAGGAATTTTTGTCACCTTCTTAGCTGAAAATTCCTTTCCGCACTACTTGGGCCTTACCCAGCTTCAGTGTGAGCTTTAGTAATCTGTGACTAATACTTCAACTTGTAACCATTTATTTTATTTTTTTTTTCCTCTCTATTTTCTTCCTTTCCCTCCCTTCCCCAGGGCAACAGCCATTCTGGCATACTTACCCCAGGAACTTCTAGGTACTTCGTGTTATGAATATTTTCATCAAGATGATATAGCACACCTTGCAGAATGTCATAGACAAGGTATGATTATTAATAACTCAGTAATCTTGTAACAAACATTGGGACATGTTGTGTGTTTTAAGTGGTATATTAAGAAAACCAAACAAACTTGAAAAGATTTGGGTTTTGCTGATTGCAAATGCTTTAGTCAAGAGCACTGTGCTGTGTGTGCCTAACACTGTGATTACCCTGGACTTGCATGGATTTGTAGTGGATATTTGAGGTTCAGGATGGCTAAGGGGGACTGACTGCAGGAACAGCATTTCTCTTCAGGGGTGAAGGGAGGAATTAACCGAGTTTTCCTTTAAAAGAGCGCTGCTATGTGGTCGTGGTGCCTCTTTGACACAAAGTTACTTGCTTTCTGTCTGTCTTCAGTTTTGCAGACAAGAGAAAAAATTACAACCAACTGCTACAAGTTTAAAATAAAAGATGGCTCTTTTATTACATTGCGGAGTCGCTGGTTCAGTTTCATGAACCCTTGGACCAAAGAAGTAGAATACATTGTCTCAACAAACACAGTCGTTTCGTAAGTATTTTCCTCTCAGCAGGCGCCTGTAAATGCCCATTGCTTTGCCCTTTCCTTAGATGAGAGTTGACCTATATATGTGCACATCTTCCATATGACAATAGGTGTCTGCTCCAAAAAGCACTCTGGGGAGAGGACAATTAGTTTAACAACTGCAGTAATTTCATGTGTATTTGTTAAAGCCTGCAAAAAATAGAAATATTTTCTTTTTTTGGGAAAACCTCTTTGTAGGGACTTACAGGACATGCATTTCTTTGCTTTGGTAGGTGCTTCCCCCCCTTCTGGTTTTTTTCTTGAGGTTTTTGTACAGAGCAGTGACTTGGCAGCAGAATAACTGCTGCCGAGGAATTCTCTGTGAGAAAAGCTGTTGGGGCCCTGCATTGCACACTTTAAGGTTTATTTCTGTTGCTTACATAGCTCTGGTGTCAGTCACAGGTGCTGCCTTCACTGAGGTGACACTGACTCATTCATGACCTGAAGCATTCCATTCTGAATCTTTTGGCATTATGACTGAGTTTTTTTATCACTGATAGGGTTTTCTACCTGTTGGGTTTCCTATCACTGATCCTTCTCATTCTTGCAATCCACAGCACCACCGTACTGGAGAGTGGGGACGCAGCCTTTCCACAGCTCGCGGCGTCTCCACACAGCATGGACAGTGTGCTCCAGGCTGGAGAAGGTAACTCCTGTGCTGAGGAAATTATTGGCAGCCGTGCCTTGGGAGCAGCTCACCCTGCATGCGCAAATTTGCTGCACTGAGAATTTGTTAATATCCTAAGGAAAAACAAGTTTTAGGGCAAAAAGGTGCTAATGCAGTTCTTGCCCTGTTGAACGTAAATATCAGCTTTGGGTGTGAGCTGGTCAAAGAGAAGTGAATCAGACAGGAAAAAGTATAAATAGGGCTGGAGGAGGAAAGTTTGCCTTCACGGATGGTGCCATCTGTGCATCGCCCAGGAGTGACTTCAAGGTCTGTGGTCAGTGCACACAACTCCTCAGAATCTTAAATGCAGTCTGGATCCCAAACACAGTCAGGATCCCAAACACAGTCTGGACCTTGAACACAGTCTGACCATTTGGCTTATTGTCCCTCACCTGCCCGTGATTTGGCTTTTTATCACAACATGAGCACTGACCCCATGGTTGTCATCATGGGCTGGTTACGAGTGATGCAGATCACCAAACCATGTCATGACAGGGGGTGCAGAATAAAGCAGAGCAGAGCTTGATTTAATGAAGGGCCTGAAGCAGGGTAGAAGTGAGGCAGGATAGAAGGATGCAGTGACAGCCCATGGATGGAAGATCCCTGTGAAACATGGTGATAATACTGAGATTCCTTGCAAAGGGTGGCCCTGTTCACTAAATACTACTTCTGTCAGCTGTGGGTGTTGCACATGTCTGGACTTACTCCCAAAGTTGTACCCAGCACACTTGGAGCAGTGCCAGCACTGGGCTTTCCAGTGATCTCTGCTATGAACAGAGGGGGTCAGTGGGTGACTGGAGCAGGAGGGGTGGCAGAGGCCAGGACAGTGGCAGTGGTAGGAGGGGAAGGTGCCGTGTAGGCCTGGTGGTTGGAACTACAGCAGTGTGGGGTCTGGGCCTTGTGAGGATGGAAAACAATGCAGAACAAACTGTTCTATAGTAGGATAAGCTTCTTCTTGTCACAACACACCCTTTGAAAAGAAAACAGATGTGTAGTATCATCATACTGACAGTTCTTGTCCTCAGAAAAAAAGGTTAATTGAGTGAAGTTTAATTTCAAGTGGTTCTGGCTCTGCTAAGGATTTATGACCTTTCCAGGTGAACCTTCTCACCTTCTGCTGGCTCTGAGCCATAGATACTGAGGGTTGCTGTTGTTAAATAAGCATTTCTAAAAGCCAGCAATTATCCTTTAGGGATAAGCAATGCTGAGGCCTTTCTTGCCCTTTCAGTGTGATCTTTACCTTCGAGTATATTGGGCTCCTTCCTGACAAACCCCCTCAAGTGCTGTGCAAGAGTCAAATCTCAATAAAGGAACAGCTTCAAACTATTCCGACCTCACTTTTCCCTCCATCCTTAGATTCTTGCAGTTACCTGCAGGGGCTTTGTTTGTGGTCATCAGGTACCTTGGGCTTGTCCACTATTGAATGGAACATGCACCAGCAAGTTCTTCACAGGAAGCACAGAACAAACATGTTTGGAGAAGAACCTGTTTGGGCACAGAACAGAGCAGGTCTGACAAGCCTTTCTGTACCAGCTTTGGACCAGATGCTCGAAACAACCAGGTCCTGAAAGAGTTGGGATATGTTGTGTCCCTGCTGGCACAGAGGGATGTCTGAGAGACACAGCTCAGTGCAAACCAGAGCTTTTCATACATTTGAAAGTACACACCAGTTGGTGGAATAGTAAATAAATACAATTCAGAAGGTCCTGCAGCTGTTCAAAGCCTAAATATAAATGTTTTTTTCGGAGAAGGTTTTCAAGCTTCTGTCTGACTTAACATATCTGCTCATTTCAGGTGGTCCAAAAAGGACCCATCCTACTGTGCCTGGAATTCCAGGTGGAACAAGAGCAGGAGCAGGTAAAATAGGGAGGATGATTGCTGAAGAAATCATGGAGATTCACAGGTGAGAGTTAACAGAAAATCATTGTTTGTTTCATTATTGCTCTTTAAGAGGAATTATTGTTCTTTAAGAGGAAATGAAGGAAGTCTTTCTTCAAGCTGAGTAAGGAATGATACAGTTGTATTTCATAGACAGTTACATGTACTTATTCAGCATGACCTGAGGCAGTCAAAGCCCTTAGTGAAAGCATGAAAAAGTACAGCCTGACAAAGTTACAGCCTGGCAGCTTTCTACTGCAAAAAACCAATATTGGAACTTCTTTGTAATGGTGATGATTATCTGTTTACCAGAAACAGTAGCCAAAAAGAACAGCTAACTAGAAATAAATCCTTTCCAGACTGCTCTTCTTCCAGGAACTTAAGGCTGTGAGTGGCACAACTTCCAAATGCCAAAGCTGTTGACCACATGCCAGAAAAGCCACGTTTGGTTTTGTGTTATCCACTCCCTCAGATGCTTCTGGAGTTGTTGGATGTGCACGTTCAGCTTGCGCAGTTCCCCTGGAGCTCTTGGAGCAAAGACACAGTGCTGGAGCCAGCCCAGCCTTCCCAGGCACTGGGGCTGGTTTAAACATGGGGTCTTGCAGCCCCCTGCAGTGAGGGACTGTGGGAGTGCACAGCTGTTTGTCCTGTCTCTCACCTGTGTGAGCAGCTGCTTTCAGTGGGTACCACTTAATTTCTGTTGGCCAGCAACCCCTGTTCTTCACGAATTTTCTCTTGGGAATTGTTCCTTTCCTATGAAAGTGGTCTCACCCAGCAGATGTTCAGTGGCAGCAATTTAACCAGACTGAGCTGCAATTCAGGAAAACATTCAGTCTGTTTCCCACAGTTTTGTTCCTGCTGCAGGCAGGAGAGACTACCAGGGAACAGCAGACCTATCTATAAGGCTTCCTTACTGTCTGGAAGACAGAAGGAGAAAAGAAAAAAATTTAAAAGCCACTCTGGGGCTGGACCAATACTTGGAAGTGTAACCATCCCTTTGAGTAGCTGTAAAACACCTAATTAGCCCCAGCAGTGCAGTAGTGCAGTTTACCCCCCGTGTTTGCATTTCAGTTCAGACCCTGGGTTAGTTCCAGTCCTTTTTCAGCAGCTGTTACTATTTTCCAAAGCTACCTTCTGTTCAGCTTTCCCAGGGGAACTCTGCCAAGGATAAGATTCCCATTTCCATTGCTTTTCTCTGTAACTCCTCATCCTCCCTTTAGTCTAGAGATTTGTTGATTTACAGTCAATACATTATACATTATTAAAGATGTTTGATCAAGCTATGGAAAATTAAAGTGGGAAATGCTGCCTTGAGCAGTTAAAAAAAAATAATTGTATCAAGTGTACTTCTGTAGCAGTATCTCACTGAAGGAGTCTAGGTCACTGTGACTGAGGCAGCTGGAATTCTTAGCTGGTGTAAGTTGAACTAAAATATATAAAAAAAAAAATTAGGCTTTCCTCAGCACTCACGACCTTTTCCTTCTGAGTCTCTGGGGAGGCTGTACAGGAACAAAAACAGGGGAGGAGGTAAAGTAGACCAATCTGGATTTATACAGGACTGTTTATCTGGCTGCAAATCAAAACCTTGCTGCTGCTGGTTCAAGCAACACTGAAAAATGGAGGAAATTACAAAAATGAAATTCATGCTTTTAGCTCCTTATAGCACCTGATACTGAAGTCAGCATTTGAAACTTCCAAGTCTCTGGCATCTGTTGCTGGTAAATCCATGCCCTGTTTTATCCATATTTTAGGATAAGAGGATCATCACCTTCCAGCTGCGGCTCCAGTCCCCTGAATATCACCAGCACCCCACCACCTGACACCTCCTCCCCAGGAGGCAAGAAGGTAAGGACAAGCTTTACCAAGTCTTGTGGCAGTAGTGACAAGTGATGTGGGGTCATGCTGATGTGGAACAGCTGATTTGAACAACTCCTGGTTGCTTGGCTGGAAAAGTCTGACCCAGTCAAAGTATTCCAGTGGCCAAAACCCCTCTGCATAGAGTAGCAGTTCCCAAATATCAGCAGGTTTTGAAATCCGCCTGTTCCTTAGATTGTTTTTTTAGCAGAGCTGCAAGGGACAGCTCTGCTCATCTCTCTGAGCTTCCAAAAACCCTTTAACACCCCGTGCTGGTGAGCACTGGAAGTGCTGTCTCTGGAGCCCTGGCTGTGCTCGGATGAATCACGCCGGTGTTACAGAATATGACAATTAGATGCTTTGCTGTGCACTCAGAATTTATTTTTAAATCAAGACCATGCACCCTGCCTTGCTCTAAGATTGCTTGAGTATCATTCAGGTACCATTACCAACACTTAACCACCCGAACACGTGTCCTGGCTGCTTTCAGTCATCTGCAAATTGCTGTTTATGGTAGTTATATCCAAGAGCACTTATCCAAATCTTTGTATACACTGTCTCAAACTTACTTAACCTTTTTTCCCCAGAAATTATGATGACTATACATAAGAATTTCTTGTACTGGAACATACAGTGAATATTTCTGTCTATTCCTGGCTCCGTTCTTGAAATAAAACTTGAGGTTGTGACAAAGAGTTATAATTCTGGTAATACCCTCGCTCCTCCTGTCCTACAATATTCTACATGTACATACAGTAGGGGCTGCTGGAATGAAGGAAAACACAGGTTGGGTGTTTCTGACATTTGTTCCATGGTACAGAGAAAAGTAGCTCCTAGTTTACAACTATTCTGATTAAGTAACCTTTAGGTGGTGATGTTTGGGGTTTTTTTAGGAAGTCCATCCACCTTGTATTAAAAATCCCAATGTGGGACAATTTAAGACTTACTGCACCATTTCATGCTGGTTTATAGCTTCTGGTTTTTTTCTTTCAAGATCTTGAATGGTGGCACTCCAGACATTTCTTCAGCTGGGTTGCTGTCTGGGCAAATCCAGGATAATTCTGGTTACCCCTATTCCGACAACTCCTCCATCCTTGGTAAGTGAAGTCACTCAGTAACACACCTCAGTGCCCGCTAAACACACACAGACACTGTAACACCACGGTTGGTTTGAGCAGTAACCTGCTCTTACTACCTGAAGGCTGCAGCTGAAGCATAAAACCCATAACCAACCACTCTGCTTGCCTAAGGAGGCTTCTGGCAGCTTAACTTCAACTTGGAATTTCTTTTAGACGATACACGGGAAGCCTCTTTTCTCTTGCTGAATCAGTGTGAATTAGCTCAGTTCCCTACCTGCTTTTTGTGAATGCTTTCAAACAGCTGAAGAGGGATGTTGATCTAGTCTTGTATTTGAAGTCTTGCATGCAGGGTTGTCCCTATTAGGCGTGTTGGTCACTTCTGAGGACTGACACCCATGAACAGTGTCCAACACTGTTGCACCCTGGGTGTCACACAGATCCATAAACAGTTCAGCCTGTTGAGACGTTCTACCCCAAGTCACGTGGAAGTGAAGTGACTAAACCAAGTCCCCTGCCTGTGTTTACACCCCCAGGGGAGAACTCCCACATCGGCATCGACATGATCGACAACGACCAGGGCTCGAGCAGCCCTAGCAATGATGAGGCCGCCATGGCCGTGATCATGAGCCTGCTGGAGGCCGACGCGGGGCTGGGCGGCCCTGTGGACTTCAGTGACCTGCCCTGGCCCTTGTAAATGATGCCCCCAGACACCCAAATATCAAAGTGCATTTACTGGTGGAGTTCTACTCTGGTGAAACTCGTGGGACTGAGGAGCTTTTATGTACAGAGTTCATAAAAGCCGTGTCAGAATGCAACTCATCCTTACCATGTGTAACTTCAGACAAAGTGGAATAACCTGCTACAGTGTTCTATGTTGATTTGGTTAGCTGTGTATAGCTTGCAATACTTGTATATTTTGGATTCTGTTGTTTGAAATTTTTTTTTAAATCACTGTGCAACTCACTGGCATCAGTGGTAGTTTTTATATGCAAATGACCATTTCAGATGTATGGTGTGTTTTTACACTGCAAAACAGTCCCCATGTGGATATTTCTTATACTAATTGTACCATAAAGCTGTTTATTCTTTCTTGTAAGAATCCTTTACTATAAATATTGTTAAAGTGTAATGTATTAGACAGTTAAATATTTTTAAAATAAATGTTTCCCTTGTTCTAAGACAGAGCATTTACTTTGATAAATAAATTTGATAAAACCCTGCTGAAGGTGCATGCTAGAAGCACTTGGTCTTTATCATTTCTTTAGCTTTGGGGGAAGAGGGAGGAAAAACAAGGCCTTACTTACACGACTTTGTCATGACAACAGGCTTCTAGAGAAGCTATTATTATTGTTTACTGTTATCTTGGAGTTTAATACTAAGAAAAGCACAACAGGAGGGCAGGTTGAGATGACAGGCTGATTTTATCAGATTCTCTTAAGAAATACTTGTTTTTCACTTAATATTAACCATCGTCCCCTGCGGAAAGAAAAGCAACTGCTCTTAAAATACATAATTCACAGATAATTCAAGCTCATTAAAATAATGGAAACTTTATTTGCATGAAAAACTTGTTTACAATCATTAATAAATGAAGAATGAACCATTTGCATTTTCCTATTTCATGACACTTATGAAAAATGTATTAAATAAATATTTGTGAACAGCTTAAGGTAAGGCAAAATTTAAGATAAAGCCCCTATCAGTTGTTCACAATTTTTGAACATGGCTCACGCTGCAAACAAGTGAAAAAATTCACTAAAGAACTTTGAGTTTAACAAGATGTTATGTGGGTCATTGAATCACATCCTCAATCCAAGAACCCAGTAGTAGTTTTGTGCTCAACCATATACAGTAACTTTAGAAGGGTCAATCTCTTCAGAGCAAAACTATGTACAGTTTTGATAGAAGCACTTTGTTAGTATTGTGCAATACATTTATAAAAAATGGCTTCAAATTCCACTTCTCAACCATTTGTAAAGTGCTACTATCAATTCCACCTCTGCATTCCAACCCCTGTGTCACAACACTGGTGCATCCCTGGGCCTGGAGGGGCTTCAGAGTGAGGACAGTCCAGCAGACAAATCACCAACGTCACAAACCTACTGGTAAACACATACACATGTAACTGGAACCCAGGTGTTTGATCTGTACTCTTCCAAAAACAACCCTCTGGTCTTTCCAAAGGTCAGTACTGCAATACCCTAAACACCGTTAACACAATGGAAAAAACTGGAATTGCAGTGTGGTATGAGTTGAGTACAGAGTCACTTTAAGGAGCATGCTTTTGTTTTAGTAAGAGTCCATATCAGAGCGGTGGGTTCTGTCCCTCAGGATCCATCTCACTGTTACTGGGAGGAGGATGGATGGGCAGGATATCCAGCTCATCCACCTGGGGAGTGGGATGCATGACCACGAGCTGGTCCTGAGGGATATCTGCTGCTGCTGCCGCCAGATTGGTGATGGACTTGCTTTTCACACACTGGAAGTCGACGTGCCGGCTCTTCCCTTCCTCCTTCTCCCATGACATCCGAATAAATGGCCTCTGCACGTAGTTGTAAATCACCTCCGGCCTCCCGCCCGGTCGCTTCTTCACCTTCTCCTTGTATGTGGGGTAACCTGAGAGACACAGCACAGTCCAAACGACCTGTCCAGAGCCCTGCATAGTCACCACTGCCCTGTCCAGAGCCTAGCCCAGCCCAACACTGCCTATGCTGTGGGGGTTCAGGGTTTCTTTCACAAGAAGAAAACTGTGTGTGAAAGCACAGCAAGGATGAGCAGCATCTACATCCTGGATGGAAACAGATGCCATCGTGTTGTTCTTCATGTCCTCTGTGCAAGCAGGACATGGAGTCAGGAGCTGATCTAACAACCAAATTGTAAGGAAAGGCCGCAGTACTGACAATAATAAATATATTGCCACCACAGAGATATAATAATTAATATATTGCCACCCAGACCTCACAGGGAACGCTACAGATCTTTCCCTGGCCACTGTCAGCGCCACTGTCTCTATAACACTGTGATGGGAGAGCAGCAAATGAGATCTCAGTGTCGCTCTGATCTCCGGTTTAAGTTCCCAGGTGGAATCCCAGAATGTTCCTCCCAGCTCCCCAAAGGGTGAAAATACATAATTTTAGATGAATTGTGAATTTTGGTTATGCTGCATTCCAGACCTCTCTCCCCTTTGCCCCAGCAATAATGTTCATTTTACATATTGTTACAGGGCACCAGCATTACAGTTTGGTCAAACAGTTGTTCTTTGTCTAAACCAAGAAATACCAGCAGAAATAATCTGGTATTAGCCAGCATTACAGACAGAGCCAGTTCTTGTTCAGCTGAAGGGCACGTCAGCCTGAAGGCTCCCACCTTGTTCAGCTAAAATTACTTTTTTTAGAGCTCACAACCAGTTAAAAGCATTTGCTTTTGGTTGGCAAATTACAAACGTAACTATGACAACTTGGTGAGTGAAGGAGAGAAATCCTGCTAATTATAAAGGTTGGATTCTAAAATATTTGGGTCAACAATCAGAGGAAAAATGTAATGCAATGAAACCTAGTTCTTGCATTCATGATAAAAATCTACAACTGCTTAATGAGATTTTACAGACCAGGTCGGAGAAGCGCAGCAGCCCTTCCAGCCCCAAGTAAGAGTGCAAGTGGTGCTCCCCTTACCTTCGATGCCGAGTCGGATCTTCTTGAGCCCCCTTTCCTTCAGCACTGATTTGGCCACATCTCTGTTTTCAATGTATTTGAAGAATCTATACAACTTTGTGCTGTAAATAACTAAAAACACATTTTAATGAGAAAATGTCAAAGGCAAGTGTGTGCTCAACTAATAAGAGCAGGGGGTTTTCTTAACTGGCATCTTTGAGACATAAAGGCTCTTAAACGTGAGGTAATTGTGTTACTACATTAGAAGAGGCATCTTTGATCTATATTCACATAGAGCCCCCTTATTTAAGAACAATTGCAGGTTTGCATCTTTCAAACCCATCGTTTTTTTGTGCTGGTATTTTGGTTTTCTTAAATTAAAGAAAAATAAAAACAACCAATCAAACAATACATAAAACTAATACTCTGAAGAGACTCCTAAGAGGATTTTGTATTACTGGAGTACAAACAGCACCTCAAGCTCCCACCTGCCCTCATAAACTCCCCTGAATTCCACATTTTCACAGTGAAGGAACATTTTCAGCTAGTAGGAGAGCATGGATGCAGAAAGGAGCATTCCATTCACAGGTGCTCATCTAAACACACAACTGTAATATTTCAAAAATAATTTAGGTTTTTTCCCCCCAAAAAAATCTTCTAGCTGTTCTTCCACAGTAAACATGACTTTTTCAGGAAGAGCTTGATGAGAGAAGTTGGTATTTCCTCCCCCTCACTGGCTGAAAATACCTTAACAATAAAAATTATCTCCTCTTTTTAATTAGATTTGAACACAACAAGCAACATATGCTTCTGTGAAGCAAAATATTAAACAGAACTACCAAAACTAAGAGGTTTTTATTTTGTGAGGCATTAGAGATGTTAAGACTTTGCTAGCAGTGCTTATATACAACAGCATTAAATAAAGAACGCTCACCACTACCTCTGCCATGGATGGCTTGGTGGGAACCAGGATAACAAACTTACTTTGTGAATACTCCTCTCCCATTTGTGGGGGATACTCTTCATCCCAGTCCACAACATCATCATCTGTCAGCACAACAATGTGGCACTCCCTCTCCCCACTCTGGGCACTGGCGACCATTAAGGGGAGAATCATTTCCTCGAGGTAAAACTCAAATTGCTTGCGAGCACCATCATTTGACAATTCGTGCATGAGAGCACCTAGAAGAAAATTTTAAGCACAGGCACATTTGAAAGCTTGGTAAAAAGATGAAGGTAGGAATAAGAAATACAGCAGTTCTGTTTATCTTGTGGTGTTTTCTGCAGACAAGACTAAAGACACTTAGTCTATTAGTTTGTGTAAGCTCAGAACTTATTCAAATGTTTACCAGAATCCAGACCAGAAGCTGAAACTAACTGTCCTGCAGGCATTAACATAAGGTTGGTCAGGAAAGAGTGACTTCAAGACCTTCTTCCTCTTTTACTACTGCAAAACATTTGGTAATTGGGCAAGATTCCTCACTGTTTTCCTAAAAGAAACATTATTTTAGCCAGTTGCAGAAAGAGTAGAGCTCACAACCACATTTCAAAAGCAGTAGCTTAAAAATTAAGCTGCTCAGAGCCCTCTCGGCAGGAGCTGCTAAATCCCTGTGCTGAGGACAGAGTGCTCCAAGCTTGTGACTGTGCAGTGACAGGCAGTGAGGCCATGGCACTGCTGGGGAAGGCACAGGTGTCCCACAGAGCCCTGTCAGCAGGAATGCCATGGCCTGACCCTGCTCTGCACACACCCCATGAGATTTCAGAGACTGGGGCACAGTGCAAGTCACCTAAACACTGGCCAAAACTTGGGCTGTGCTCAGGGATGGAAGAAGCTGAGGAGAATGGTATGTACTGGGAACATCGGTACACCCTACACCACCAGCAAATATGAGCTGCTTCTGCTGGGGAGACAGATTAATTCTCTTAAGCAAGGAGCTGAATAAATCATCTCCCTGTCCTCTGCAAAAAGATACTACTTAACGTTACTGTATCTGTCCTGCAAATGTAACAACAGCGTAAGAATTGCACAGGGGCTGACCCACAGCAGAGAATCAGATACTGAAATACCAAAAACATTATTTCTCAGAAAAACAAATCCAGTGGCTTTGGGGCTTTATTACATAAGAGGCAAAAAGGGATGGGTTTTGTTCATGTAATGTCAGCCATCTTCCTTACCTCAGTAAGGATACGATTTGGAGTTAACACACACACACACATTTGCTTAAATCAATTTGTATAGGTCCAATGATTTTAAGAAATTCTATACTTACTGAGATCTCTGCATTTAATAGTACTATACTCAAAGGAGATACAGAGATAGTCACATGCTTCTCTCAGTTCAGGAATGGATATCCCATCAGGACAGCGTATCACTCCAGTCTTGTAGTAATCCTGCAGCAATGTAGCAAACAAAAACCACAATGCACTTCAATGTTCGTTGACAGAAACACTTAATCCTTTAATTTATGATGTTTTCCCCAGAAAGAAAGCCCCTAAAATGTAAGACAGCAACATATGTGAAACTCTGCAAGTCTTTTTGTCCTCAAATTTATCCGCTTTCAGAGCTGCGTTCAGAGCAGTGGGTTCTAG